GCGGCACTGACCCTGGCACCTTTCAAAAGCACCTTCATTGGTGCCACCATGGTTGGCATTGGACTATTCGTCAGAGTCCAACGTGGAATTGGTATGGTCGGGTGCTTCTTCACACAGGTCCTCCCTGTGGCACCGGCCCCACCATCGGTGGTACCAGGCTCAGCAGACACGGCTGCCTCCATTGCAGCCACAGTGGCCCTTCTGGACCCCCTGGGCCTACCATCAGATGCAAGGCCCAATGATGTCACCCCAGGGCCTGGATTGTCACATTCCAGGGATCTACTTTCTGTGACCCCCCTTATGCAGGGTCCCCACCTCGGAGTATAAAGGCAGACCACAGAGGGACATGCCACGTCATCAGGGAGAGGGAGATGGATTGGGAGCTCAAGATTGTGCTCAGTCCCTATCGATCTCACAGGTGGCAATGCCACCCCAGGATCACCCCGAAATAAGGGAGTCCTCACTGTCCTTCGCTGATGAGGCACTGGCTGACCCTGCTCCGTCCATGCCCTCTATGGATGCGAGGGCCCACCAGGACTTGCTGCTTAGATTAGCAGCCAATTTGGGAGTGCAAGTGGAGCTTGTCAACGAGGACTCCGATCCCATGGTGGACATTTTGTCTGTAGATGCACCACCGAGGCTGGAGTTGCCACTTAATAAGATGGTGCCTAAAATTGCTAATAATTTGTGACAGATACAAGCATCAATCCTGCCTACTCAGGAAGAGGTTGAGAGGCATTATTTTGTCCCCCAGACGGAGCATGATCATTTGTGCTCCCACCCGGTCCCGGGTTCTCTAGTAGTGCAAGCAGCCAGGCAGAAGGAGAGGCAGGGTCAACTGGGGCCTACCCCAAAGAGCAGGGACCTGAGAAAACTGGACCTTCTGGGTAGGAAGGCGTACGCTATGGGAGGCCTTCAGCTGCACGTTGCCAACCAGCAGGCAATGATAAGCAGCTATACATACAACACCTGTTTGGCTGTGGACAAGTTTAAAGAACGCCTGCCTCAAAAATGGTTACTTACCTTGTCACTGTTGTTCTTTGAGATGTGTTGCTCATGTCAATTCGACTCTTCTCCCTCCTCCTCCTCCCCCCGCCCACCTCTCCTTTATCAGAGTTTTCCGGCAAGAAGGAACTGAGGGAGGGGAGAGCCAGGTATGCACCGATATGCCAGTGCCACTCTAGGGGGCTCTCTGCTGGCCTGACGTATACCGTTGGGGGAAAAAAGGCTCTGGAATCCATGCATGTGGAGAGCGCACACCTAATTCGAATGGACATGAGCAACACATCTTGAAGAACAACAGTTACAAGGTAAGTAACCATTTTTTCAAAGTGCTTTGTAGAATGAAAACACAAAATTCCACATTAGTCAGTGGTTTTTTATTTTCACTAATACATGCCAAGGAAAGTTAATTTGACTTGGACTCCACAAATATTGAAGATTTTTATAAAGGATAAACAATGCCAGTTGAATCTTGGCGTAACAAAACTCTCTTAACTTTGCAAAGCTGCTTTTTCATTAACTATACTAGAGAATAGTAACACCAATGAGATATGTGAAAAATCCATAAAAAAATCAGGGAAGGCTATGGTTCTTGAAGTCCCTAAGAGAGAATTTTACTTCATTGTAGATAGCATAATTCAAGTACTAACATAACTTTGAGTCTTAATTTGATGTAAAAATCAATATCACATGTCTTTGCTATTATGTAAGAGCTCGTGGTAAGATGTGATGTGAAATTTCAGAAGCACTGTTTTCAGTTTGAGTGTGGGTGTAAAAAAATCAGTGTTATATTGGAAAGTTAGCTTCTGTCTTAACTATTGAGCAACTATGGCCTCTCCCTAATATGGAGGGCATTCATTGATATTTAAGCCAAATATCTTATTTCAACCAAAGAGATATCTTTTAAAAAATTTCATAAGGGACTAAAAATAATAAACTGAGAACAGAATGACTGTCTCATTCTTCAACTAGGGATGTAATAGGATAACTGTGTACACAGTTTACGGATAAACCTGGGCTTATTGGTTATAGTGAATGGTTAAACTCAGGTTCTCACCCTGCTCCCAGGGAGCTGGCTGCTGTCCTAGACTGCTGCCTCTGATACAGCCTCTGATGGTGCATGCCAGGAGCTGACTTAAAAGCTGGCTCCTGGGGAACTTGGTTGTCTCCCCATGCTGTGGAGGGATGTCAACAATTATATAGTTATCTGCAGGGTTCGCCAAGCCGCGGCGAGCCCCGCTCGCCAGCTGCACTGTCCAGCATTCTGCGCATGCGCAGATTGTAGATTGCCGGAACCCAGCTCTTCCGGGTTGTAATCTACTCACCACGGGCGAGCGGATTACAAAGATTGTCGAGCCCTGGTTATCCGATTACCTGCTTTTTAACATCTCTATTCTTAACTCTAGCATTGTGACCTTGGTGCTATAATAATTTTTTTCCTCAGTTGATGTTAAAATCTGCAATATAAGAGGGATTTAGTTACATGTCTTTGTCAAGTGAGGAAGGATGATGATGTGCTTAGGGTACTAGTCTAGGACTCAGGTGATGCAGGTTCTGGTCTCTCTTCTGCCACCACCTTCCTTTGTAACCTCAGGAGCTCCATGAAAGGGAGGGAACTTCTGGGCTGGACATGGTTTGTTAGGGTTAGTTGCTGGCTGGCTGTGAGATGGTTTATTTATCTGAGCATCCACAGGCATTGGGCCTGCTAGTTCCCTTAGTGGCTATGGTTTCCTGGCCAGTAGGACCTGTGGGAAGCAGTGTGTGGTCTGTGCTGCTTCCTGTAGCACTCGTTGGCTAGGTCTGGTGAGCCACGGCCACTAACATCTGCGAGCAGTCAAGTAAACAAAACATTTGGCAACCCCTGCCAGTGGCTAACCTTGATGAATCATGTGACCAGCACACTAGAGCAGGAGTGGCCAACCCATTTAACAGAGAGCAAAACAGTGGCGGAAAAAATACGAAGAGCCGCACCAGAATTGTTAAGTGCAAACCCCCTCCCCCCCCCCCGCGAACAGAATTGTTCAGCAAAAACAAAAATATTAAAAAAAATGTTTTTAAAAAAGGAGGCTGCCCCTTTAAGATGGCTGCCATCTTGGGCACCATTTTTAAAACTCCTCAGCTCCGACCCAGTAAGCACAGGGAAGCCGGGGGCCGGGAGGAGCCAGCGGGGGTTGGAGAGGGCAGGTACTCACAGGAGCGGCTTCGTGAGCTGTACTTTTGGGGACCAAGAGCTGCATGTGGCTCGCAAACTGCGAGTTGGCCACAGCTGCACTAGAGATTCCCCATCCCTGATTTGGGGCTTGTCTAAATGAAGAATTAATGCACGCAAGTTGGGGTGTAAATATACAGTAATCTGTAGTGCAATAACTGACTCTGGACCCAGCTACTGTGCCCAATAAGTTCTAAGGTAGGGATGTAAAAGTATAGTTGATTAACCAATTAACCAGTAAGCAAAAGCTACATGCATTTTCCCCTCCTGCTCCCACTAGTAAATTTTTTAGCAGGCTGGCCAGCAGCCTGGCTCAGTTCTGGCTTTTGCCGGGTCTGGGAGCTCAGACCCTGCCCCAGACACAGTTTTCAGTCCACCTGTAATCAGGGAAGACTTAGAATACTTTTTGTAGGAAGTAGCTGTATTTTTTTTTATATGTAATTTTCTTTGAAAAACTCAAATTAGCCACAGTGGTTTCAGAGTTGAACAGACATGTACTTCGATAGAAGTAAAAGTTGAGAACTTTTAAAAAATCTCACCCATTCTGCAGGTGAGGCTTTCGTTTACACATACAAATGAGACTTTCGTTTTGTGACTGATCCTGCTCTCGTAGTTATTTGGTATCAGGGTCCTTCTGTTAGTATAGAGAAGTTCAGACCTAAATTTAAATTCATTGAGAGTTGAATGTTCTCATTTTCTTTGAAAACAGGCTTCTTAGTTGTTGAGAAAGATACCTGCACTGGAAATTTTGGACTTATTACATGATACAGCCTGTTGCTGAACTAGTCCTTTTATAGACTACAGGTAAAAAAAATACAGTGATCTAGGAAGTTTCTGCCCTTGGTTAGAACTGATGCTTATGTACTCTGCAAAAACTAATACAGGCAGTCCCCGACTTACGCGGATCCGACTGATGTCGGATCCGCAGTTACGAACGGGGCTCGCCCCGGAGGACACGGACTGCGGGACCTCGCGGTCCTGCCGCCCGTGTACTCCGGGGCTTTTTCCGCGTCTCCCTGGTATGCAGACCAGGAAGACGTGGAGCAAAGACGTGGAGGGGCTGGGGCAGCCCAGGCACGCCTGGGCTGCCCCGCTGCCCGAGCCCCTCCGCAGCTTTGCTCCGCGTCTTCCTGGTCTGCAGACCAGGGAGACACGGAGCAAGCCCCGGAGTACATGGGCGGCAGGACCGCGAGGTCCCACAGTCCGTGTCCTCCGGGGCGAGCCCCGTTCATAACTGTGGATCCGACATAAGTCGGATCCGCGTAAGTCGG